TCCACGTGGACCCGCACGGACGGCCCCGATTGAAGAAGTAGAAGTATTTAAACCTATCTTGACCAGCTCTCCAAAACCCTAGCTGACACCGTGCCTGGAGAAAAAGAAGAGGGGCGGCCGAAGGAGAGGTTAGCCACCGGAGAGAAGCCGACACCACCATGCCGGAACCCTAAAACGCACTGCTAAGCCCTAATTTCCTTCCAGTTCCTCCCATTTCTCCATCCTTAGCCGCCTAACATGTTTCCGATACAGGGTGACCGAGAGAAACTGCAAACCGCAAGGGAGGGACGACGGAGCTCCGCTGAGCCGCCGCATCGGAGAATAAAAACTGTCGGTAATACCATATTTTTCCCCTCCTTTTTCCGAAAAATACCCCCTAACCACGATTTAAACAAATTTCCACCAGGAACCGAGCAAAATCGATTTGGTCGAGAGGGAGAAGCACCAGAGAAGGAGGATCAGGCAGCAGAGCATGGCAGCACTGCCGCGCCGAAACTCCAACCTGACCCCTGTTGAGATTTTTTTGCCTTTTTGGCTATTATTTGTGTATTTTCATGCCGTTTTGATGAACGTTTTCAATCTTACTTGGAAAACCCAAGAAATCCAAAAACCGAGAATCATCGAAAACCGTAATAAAAAAGGCGGTGTCCTGAACACCAACCTAATGTAAGAATCCTTCACCATTTTTCTCTGTTACGATTAAATTAAAGTTAAATTAATAATAAATGAAAAATTATAAGCAGTTTGGCGATTCCTTGATTAATTAAATACAGGTTGCCGATGGAGACAGTAATCAATCTGTCCATGTTCGTCTCTAGTTTATTGAGTTGCCTATATGTTATTTTTACCTCTATTTTAATTGCTTATTTATATTTAATTTTAATCAGTTTTATCTGCGCTTCATTATCACTTTCCACTTGCTAAAATCCTACCTTGAGTTATTGTTTCATCCTATTGTTCATGTTATTGCGATGTGTGGTGCTTTTATCCTATTATGATATTTTAATTCACTTTTATTTAACAGTTTATTTCCTTAACAACTTCAAAGTATGAATATCGCTTTCTATATTTTTGAAGTATGGGTCTGCATGGAAAATATGCATGCGTAAACTAATGTCTTGGAATAAGAGGGTTTACCGAGTATCATGAGAAAGAGTGTACGGACTTTGTACATAGGGTAAACCCTACCGTGAACGTTACCCTCAGCCGTACGGAGCTGGAAAGTCTCATACCAAATGGGGTTGGAAGTTTATAAATTTTGTTCATACCGAACGGGATATTGAGACGATTTCTAATTGTAGTGCCCATTATCAAACGAGGTATGAGAACAGCCGATTTAATTACAAAGCAAATGTATGTATCCACATGTAGCGGGAATTCCTATGAACCTCTAATGACACCTGTGGGAGAAGTAAAATGATAGAGTAGCGATGGAAATGATAAGGAATCCAACTTTGGGCAAATAGTGAAAAGTCAAACATTATATGCTTATTGAAAGGTATATTATTTGTAGTTAAATTGTTATTCTGATTTTATCTACATATATGGCGCTTGACAAGTTACAAGTTAAGAAAAAAAATACTAACGTTTTCAATGAAATGAGTAACGAATCCACCAACATTCGGGTTCTATTAAAAGTATGCTTCATTGGTCGTTTTATATTTTCTACAACCTTTTGATTTTCCGTATTAATGGTAACATTGATATTTTTACTGAACTAATATAGTTCATCCCTTTCTTATTAACCATTTCAGATCAAAACAACCAAAACCCAGATCCTGAACAGAAAAAGACCGGCTAAATAATTACTTCTTCCACTTCATCAATTTCGAATAGAAGTTAATCATATCTATTTTTAATGTTTTTCTGTTTAAGTTTCAAGCATCTCATAACCTCTATTTGAGCGTTTAGTACCGTACAAGATA